AAAATCTTCCTGCGCCAGCGCCTACGCCTGCGGCGACGGCGACCAATTCCGTCAGCAAAGCAAACTACCAAACCACCGGGCATAGAGGAGACTGGATTGGATCCACCGTTCATTCATACGGAATGCCGTTGCCGTTTCTAGAATCTACTAGAGGGCAGGGGAACACCACACCGCGTTATCATTCATTTTATTCTATTTGATTTGTTATTATTCTGAGGGCAACACGCACCATATTTGTATTTGTATCTATTGCTTCTTAATACTCCGTCCAGTTCCCAGTACTAGTAGTACTATAGGGATGGATGGAGGGATGGACGGAGGGTTTTCCCATCCCATTCGTCTTGGTTAGGCTTAGCCGTTACTACTGCTACAGACGAGATAACCAATATTCTCATCGCCGGGACCAACACGAATCCAATCCTCTTCCACCTTTATTTTCGCCTTTGCATACCAACAGTACGCACGAGAATTATTCTGCAAGCATAACCTCCTCCTTAATCCATCCATCTAGGAGGACCAGGTGGGCGATTTCTTGGTGTCCATCACACTCCAGCTATCACCGGCATTATGCTCCCATTGAGCAATGCGTAAAAGTCGCCGCTCGTGGGTCTTGTTTTTTCATACTTTTCCCGCTGTTCCAGGCAATGGCCAAACTTCCGGTACTTGCACGCAGGTTCGCACGCCATCCATCCCTTTCAGTTCATTACTGCTACCGTTTTTCCCTATCCTCTGCTGTGATGCATATCTTTTTTTTTCCCCTTCCATCTTTGCTCCTTTACTTACAGTGCCATCAGGAAACCTAACGAAAGCATGAGGCTTATTGTAGTAACGATCGTTGGTGCGGTCTTTGGTTTCTTCATCGGAATCTCGTTCCCAACAGTTAGCATAACAAAGGTACGGCCATGCTCTATCCATAATTCCATATGCAGCATCTAGGCGATAGCATCTGCACAATCGTGACTTATTACTGTTTCCCACAAAAAAAATACATATGTTGCAGCTTCACTTTCCATCTAGCATCGTCTCCTACATAGAGGACAAGAACTCAGGCCTCTCAGCTCAAGCTATACTTAATCATGCTTGGACTGCCGCCAGGAACGCAAGGGGAAATGGCTCTGAACCAATCTCAAGTGACAACTTCAAGGTACAATCCTGTGTGCTTCCTGAACTGCCCAATACATCTCATCCTCTTGTGAGATGTATTGTTGAGGATTGCACCTCACATTTTTGTCCTGTGACCGACCCTGTCTCCTTTACTGTATCTGTTAGTAAATCTAAAAAAAGTCCCTGGTTGTGTAGATTTATGTACCAACAAACCCCAGGGGCGCGGAGAGCCTAGCACCTGGTATTGTTGTACCAGAGTCTGATTTTCATCAGCACAGGTTATGGGGAAACCCAGATGAGGTAACTATTCTTGTATTCACTTCTCATCTCATACTATTATGTATTTCAGATGAGATTCTGCTATGTCCTTCCCTTCACATTGTCAGCAAGAATTAGAATATGCTGCTCCTTTGTCATCTTGTAAATAAATTCTTATGATGCTTGTGTGCTTCTCACTGAGTCACCAGGTCATGGGTTTGAAGCAGCCTCTCCGCAGATTTGCGGGGGGAAGGCTTGCCTCGGTTTTTCCCTTCCCCAGACCCCACTCATGTGGGAGCCTCCGACACTGGGTCTGCCCTTGTGTGCTTCTCTAATGCATCTTTTCAATAATTTTTTGTTATCCCACTGTTGGTGAAATAGGTAATTTGCTCAAGATCTTTGTGTTGCTATGAATTCTTGTCTTATTATTTATCCAGCTCATATATGCACTGTATTCTTGCTGATTTTTAGCCCCCTTTTTTTCATACTGCCCTTTGTGGCTTTATCTTCCATAAAAGTTGATTATTTCCATCTTAATTTCAGCACCCGAGCCATGATGCTTTGTCAAAATTAACCTCTATGTTTTAGCTAATTCTTTCTGTAACTTGCACATTAACATTCTTGCTGATGCAGATATTTAAATTTACAGGACCTACCCTTCAAGCCAAAGTACCTTGTTACTTTCACTGTTGGCATTTCACAGAAAGATAACATAAATAGGGCTGTCAAGAAGGTAACTTTTAGAGACTATTTACATCTGACACTACTCTTACATCCCAAGTTCTATTGTCTAGTCAGGACTTCCGCCGTTTTCTTTGTTTTGGCAACTTCAAATTCATTTGTAAACGTACACATATCATCGTGGAGTAATAACTTGGCGAATTACCTGTTTCTTTTTTCCCTTTGGTTGCTGTTGCAGTTTTCAAATGATTTTGCAATCCTGTTGTTTCACTATGATGGCCGGGTGACCGAATGGGATGAATTTGAGTGGTCAAAGCGAGCTATCCATGTAAGCGTCCGGAAACAAGCAAAATGGTGTGTGCTCTGATTCTTTATTATTCTTTACATGTTTCAATATTGAGGGTGGTTGTGGTTCTAAAAGTTTTATGATTATCATGACCTCTAGGTGGTATGCTAAAAGATTCTTGCACCCTGATATCGTGGCAGCCTATGAGTATGTATTTATCTGGGATGAGGACCTTGGAGTTGATCATTTTAACGGAGATGAGTATGTAACTTCGATCTTCACTTGACCATTTCTTCATATCATGTTTTGTAGGTGACTCACTAATATGATTTGATTGCAGATACATTAAACTTGTCAAGAAATATAGACTAGAAATCTCACAACCTGGTTTAGAGCCAGATAGGGGATTGACATGGCAGATGACCAAGAGAAGAGGGGATCGTCAGGTTCATATGTAAGTGGGGGCTCTGGTTTGTAGCTGCAACGATCCTTTTGCTTTATCCTCTAGAAATATGTGTTACTTAATGTATACATAAAGATGCGGAGGCATTGTTTATGAAAATGTTCTTTGCACGAGGATAGAAAATTTTAAGCCTGGTGCTGGTGCCAGGCTACAGTGTCCAACCTCTTTGCTGAGGCACAGAAACTTTTTTTTTTAAAAAAAAAGTTAAAAAAAGGAATCTTATAAAACTGGTTCTGACAGGGTTACAGAGGAGAGAGAAGGCTGGTGCTCTGATCCTCATGTTCCCCCGTGCGCTGGGTATGTAATTTTGCCCCCATAGCAGCTGAATCTGCTTGCTCTGGTTGCCTTGCATCGAGGAACCTACCTGATCTGTTTGCTGTACAGGTTTGTTGAAATAATGGCTCCAGTTTTCTCCAGAGATGCATGGAGATGTGTCTGGCATATGATTCAGGTATAACACAATTTCACTGTCTGCACTCTACCCGTCCACTTGGCTTGGTTTGGTTGATATCTTCTTGTTGTTGCAGAATGACTTGGTTCATGGATGGGGTCTCGATTTTGCTCTCCGGAAATGTGTGGAGGTACGCACTTCACAGCATAGTTAAAGCATGAAGAGAATTTGTGACTACTTCTGCTGGCCCTTGATAACACCTTTTTCAGTTATTTGCTACAAGAAAGCCTTTTTCGGCAGAGTAGCTTTTGAACACCTTGTCCATGCCTTCAATTAAGCCTTTAAAACTCTTTGCAGCCTGCTCATGAGAAAATTGGTGTCGTTGATTCCCAATGGATTGTACACCAAGTGGTTCCTTCTCTCGGGAACCAGGTAAGGGGGAAAAATTAAGCAAACTGTGTACCATCAGATTCTACTGTAGTTCCTGAATTGCATCTAACGTCAACCTTGTCCCATCTTCAAAATGCACAGGGGCAGGCGGAGAATGGGAGGGCACCATGGGAAGGGGTATGAATCTGACGACTTTGTTAGATAATCTCACATTTTGCGATTATAAGAGTGTGTCGAGGCTGGTGAAGCTGTGACTGATCTTTATCCTGGTGCTGTCTATGTAGGTAAGAGAGCGTTGCCGGAAAGAATGGGGACTCTTCCAGACAAGAATGGCAGAAGCTGAGAAAGCATATTACGAGATGATGGGAGTTACTCCACCGAATGTAACATTTGTCTCCTAGGATAAAAGTTCACATGTTAAATCCACTCACCTTTTTCTTTTTGTCCATCAGTAGCTCTTCCAATAGAGTTAGATATTGATGATACATGTACATATACATACAGACATATATATATATATATATATATATATATATATATATATATATATATACACTAATTTACGATAATGTCAATACATATTTACGATAGTTGGATTAACACATGGGGATATTTACCATAATGTTATAGTAAATCACTTAGTAAGGAGTTACTATAATCTCGTAAATTAACATAGTAATTATCGTAACTCAAAGTGGCTACAGAATAAGTTTTTTTTTTGTGTGTGTGTGTATATATATATATCTCGCCCGGGCTGTTCTCACTAGGATCTGGTTATTGTGGTATCACATACTGCGAGCACAGAAACCAGGTTCCCAATTTTCACTCACTAACTGGGAAATTCTCTTGTTATGAAATTTGAATGATATGTTTGTCAATTCAGAGTTTATATTCTGAGTTTCTGACTGTTGTATCTCTAAACTTGACTGTATGGGCACACGAAAATTCTGCAGAAAACATTTAAGATGGACAAGGATGGCCAAAATATGCCACTTCATTCTATAGATAGCCAAGGTCATATAGTATAGCCGTATAGGTAGGTGTACATGTGTGCAGGGAATTGATTTTGCTTACGTGACAGTGGTACCCGTCTGCACCCAGAAAACACATCCTAATAGACATGCCTAGAGCTGCTCAAGAAACCCTAGATACACATCAAAGAATGGTGGACATGAGTATCTCCGTCAGAAAGTCGATCCTCTGCAGCCTCTCCTCCAATCCCAGCTTGGATGATGCATCATCACTCGCTGCTGCGCCCTTGTTCAACTTCAACCTGGGGAAAAAGAGAAATCGCTGTCACTTTGAGCCTCCAGTGACACTATTACTGGCACAGCCAGCACTTTGGGATTTGTCAGCAGTTGAAAATCTGAATTACCTCTGATCGTCTGAGACACCCTTTTCGGCGTTGCCATCACTCAGGGACCGCGTCATCGGCCTGCGGGACGCTGCAGATGAACTGGGAGAGGATCTTTGTATGGCCTGCTGCTCATCCTGTAGTGTTGTGGTTCTGGCTCTTCATAGTAAGAGTTCACTTCATATGTTGCTGTTCCCTTCCCAGATGCTGAGCTGGTGGCAGCCGCAGGGCATGAGCTTGGCCTGTAAGGCTTCCTCCTCTGTCATGAATCGTGATCAGTTAGTTCATGAGTGAAATACTAGAGCATGGGCTGCTATTTCTCATTGGGGGAAAAAATCCTTAAGTAGCAGGAACATAATTACCTTGATAAGATGCGAGTGTTGCACTCTGAAATGTGCAGCCATGTCTTTCCCTAGATTGTTGGCGCAGGTCGGGCAAACCTGAAGTTCATCAGTAATAAACCGTTAAAACTGTCTGTCAGATTTCATCAGTATTCAGATTTAGTAGATGAATAGGGTGGTGGTTAGGTGAGTATTAGCATCATTAATGGCTTTTAGGACTTGTGGTTGAAAATAACTACAGTGACTTGTGGTTGAAAATAATTACAGTGACAGACTATGACCTAGAAGAGAGAGATTCCAGGTTGCATACTGAGATCATACCCTGATTGATCAGAGTAGCTTTGCAAAGTAGTAATACTTACAGCATTTCTGGTGTCAAAGCAATGCTCCTCCTGAAGGTGGTTGCAGATGAACGGCACCTCAACCTCGATGTAGCAAAAAGGGCAAGGGAGGTACTCCCACAACTCACCATCTTCTGAAATAAACAATAATCAGTTAAAACCGCTTTTCACTATGTTTCAGCAGAGTAGTTGTATTTTCTGTCAAAACGATTCCTTGTACTGAAGAAAAAGGTGCTCAGTTCCCATTTCAGCGTTCCATTGCAAATATTTTTTTTTTGTTGTATTATAAAGCTACAGATTCCAACATGAGGTCAGTCTCCTTAATTTACCACCACAGAAAAGCAAGAAATGACATTTATTTCTCCTGATGGAAATTCTTGTTGCATTTGACGAAACAGAATGGATATAACACACAGAACTGAATCCACTAGGTACGTCCTCAAGACAGGCCAGACCAGAGCAGCAAGACCAAATGTTTTCCAAAGCAGCAGTAAGATGAAGTTACAGGAAAAATAAAATAAAAGGCAAAAGGGTGAGAGAAAAATCTAAAGGAACCAAATTCAGGAATCAAATAAGTAGGTTTTTTTCTCAAGAAGAAGCAAGAATGGACCAACAAGAGATCGGCGAAGAGATGAGCTGAAAGGGGGGAAAAGAATCAGAAACTAAAGAACATATACCTGCAGAGGTGGATATATATATATATATATATATATATATATATATATATATATATATATATATCTATCTATCTATCTATCTTCAGAACCTGACATTCATCACAATCCGCTGCGTGCATTGGGTGGTACTACTATATGAGAGCTTGCTTAATTTGATGGTATCCTTCTTGGTCTTCACTCAAAGATAGATAGTACCAAAGGGATCCTCCGACGAACAGATTAATTAATCCCTTATACATCTCCTGGCTAGAGCTGTGCTCAAGGCAACACATGGATGGGGGATACATTCAGTACATCAGTTTAGTATTCTTTCCATGCATCAATGAGATTCCCTCCATGCATCTCTTCTTTTGGACCACATGTATTTTTATGACACGGCAGGGACGGACTCGATGAACAAAGTGCAAAATCTACAACAAACCTTAGTTTACTGCTGCGTAAGCGTAGCTATCCAAATGCAGTTCCAACTGGCTCATATATAGATTAATGAAACAAAGCGAGTTCAGGCTCAGAAAAAAGGCATGCATGACAGGGAAAGCTGGCGTGGATGGGGAGGAGTACTCGTGTTGTCGTCGATTATTATTACAAGCTTGCTAGCAGTGAACCAACTAATAAGTCGGTCATGCTATTGCTATTGCTGTCCAGCTGATATGTCATTAGATTCTCCCGTCCCATGACACATACATCAGTCCAACCTCTTGACCTAACACACCACAATCATCCCCTTTCTATTAATTAACGAACAAAACCAAATAAATAAATGTACGTAGCAGCTGCGTCGATCAACCCATCTTCTTGTTCACCACACACACAAATAATTTTCACTACATCTGTCACATCACTTAGGTTTTGGTCGCGTCGCTCGTCCAATCTTTTTTCTTTTTGGATTTGTGCTTGTAAGATATACCCTGACAGACTGAATGAGATTTTTTTTGGTCCGAACAAAAAGGGAGCTGCTGAATAAGCCAATCCAGATTCAACACGTGTAATAGATGCTTGCCCCATCAAGCTTCAGCAGCTGCACTTTCTGTACTATATTATATTTCTAGGTCAGTGTCTAAGACTCTCTTTGCTAAGGCTTTGGCTTCTCTAAAAACGGGGAAAAAAACTATATTTTTGTGGCTTTGGTTTCTAGGTCAAAAGGCTTCGGCTTTACATTTTATGTTTTGGTTTTAGCCTTTTGGCTTCATTGGCCGTTTTCTAGTGTGAGTGTTTAGCAGAGTTTCACCAAAGAAACACAGAAGGGCAAAGGTGAAGCTCCCCTGCCACCCTGTTCGCTTCTCTTATAATCCGTCTTTTTCAGCTTGTTTTTTTCAGCCGGAACAGTGTTTTTCTCTCACAACAAATCAGCCAAAACAGTGTTTCGACTTGTTTTTTCAGCGAAGCGAACGGGACCTAAAAAGGATCTGAACCAGCTGGGAATGAAAGCCAAAACCAAATCCACTTGTACACGTATGACCTGCCTAGACCTGGCGCTGTATATATAGCACAAATCTCCAGGCAAATGAATGTCACATGCACATGCTAAAGATCCTGTTGGGACCGGGCGGATCACTGCAGTGCACTCTGATTTTTTTTGGACGGGACAACAAATTACAAGCAAAGCGAGCTGTGAGGAAAAGTGCCCTTTTTATCGATCATGCCCTACTAGATGGCCAGCAACCGGCAAGCAAGTGACCTGGAGGTGACTCAGCTCCATCACTTGCTTCTTCTCCTTGCTCCCCCGGCCAGTTGCATTGCATTGCATGCATCGCTGTTTCCTCCCTTCTTTCCGATCAATGGAATATGCTGCATCCAGTATTATTTTGTATGTTTGTTTGTTTCTCAGTCATCATCGTCAGAAAGAAAGAAAGTTCAGGTTTTTGTTTAGTGGGTTGTATATATGTGTATTATGTTGCATATATATCGGTTGGCCAATTAGGGCATGATAGATAGATAGATAGATAGATGTGGCCAATTAGTTGGGTCCAAGGCATGGAATGTTGTTGATGCACTTGCCTCCTTTTCCTAACTATGATCATGGTGCTCTTCTTCTTTTTGTCTCTTTCCATGCACTAGCAATTAATCTGCGTTTTTGAGTTTTTGATCTCTGTTTCCATTGGACGGCTACTGGGTCCTACCCATTGAATATATGGCCATGCTCCCATTGCTTGCAATTGTTTGAGTGATGCAGTTTTTTTTGGGTTGAGCGTGCTGCATGCATATATATATTATTTTTTGACGAGAGTAGATGAGTAGGGCCCCTCCCTGATCTGTTCATGGATCATACTGTCTCCAACAATAGACTTATATGGGCACCCAAATCCAAAATGGGTAGCAGAGACCTAAAATCAACCTCCAACAGATTACCTATACAGGAGACCTATTTTGGGTTGCCTGATAGACACAACCCAAACATGAGCACCCTCTCTCCTGAAAACCCATTTGCAGAAAGGATTCTTTTTGGGTCCTGTTGTTAGAGAAAATGACGAATGGGTATTGAACCATTTGACGGTAGCGCTACCCAAAAATCAAATGGGTCTTATATTTTAGGTGTTGTTGTTGGAGATAGTCTCAGTGATGGAAATTTGGATGTAGACATCTTGTCGATTTAGTTGCTTAGTTCTTTTTAGTAGTCTTTTTGCTATGACAGTGAAATTTGCTGCTAGCTAGCTAGTCTATTTTAATTTCCTTGTACTGCTCTTGTAATAGGGCTACAAGTGTACTTGTGTGTCTGTGAGAGTCAGCTGATCACACCCTAAGGCTGTACAGCTCTTAGAACCTGTTTGAATCTTCATATAGACGGGCAGGATGGCTTTTCAGAGATGGGCTGTTCACCCACCTCTAGCAAGAGACCTCTCTCTGCTCATGAAAAATAATAGAGATGGCCTGAGGATGACATCTGCTTGCACACGGTGTCCATTCATGCGAACACTTTGTCCGTGCTCTGTGCTGCCACCCTTGATCGCACCCCGCACCGGATCTATGCAGAGAAGGGACAGAGGGATGCGAAGGAGGAGGAGGAGGCATCAATGCTAGATCTCGCCTCGTGTCACCACCCTCGACTATGTTGTGCTGCCGTCACCCTCGACTGTGTCGTCCCACCGCATGTGCCGCCGGAAGTTGGGCGATGGGTTGGGGGTGACGAGAAAGAATGAGATTGGAGGCAATGGCTTAGTCTTCAGGTGAAAAGGGAGATAATTAAGAAGCTAGGGTTTACTCACTTTATATAGTCTAAAGTTGAAACCTCGCTTAACGTTTATTTGTGCTACTCGATCACTTCAATGGGCTACCACTACAAGAGGAACACCCCTCTAGCAACGCATATATGTGTTGCTAAAAACTCAAATATGGTCTATACCAACGCATGTTATATGTGTTGCTAAAAGTGGCGTTGCAAGGTTATATTGTAACACATATATATGCGTTGGTAAATGATGTATATAAGTGTTGCAAGCTAACAACGGATGTGTCCATGTTTCACCAACACATATATGTGTTGCTGTGAAAATATGCCATATGCTTTCAGGATTTGTTATTATAATTGTATGTATGCTGCAAAATAGTAACTCTTTTCTGCCAAATAGCTTGGCCAATTAAATATACTCTATAACAATCAGCCACAGCTAATAACTACATATCTCTAGACAAAACCAGATAATATTGAATATTTTTATTAGAGAAATGATTCAGTACATAGAAGAGAATAGCACAAAATGTTATTGTATATACAATGGTTGACTAATTACAAAGTTCAATGAAAACAAAATACACACTATATGTAAACAAATTGGTCTCTAGAGAAAAATATTGTTCTTGGTCCTTCAATCATCTGAACATCTCAAAATATTATGTACTTGTCCTCTGTCAAAATATAGAGTGCTCTTGTAAGAACATATATATATATATATACACACACACACACACTTCATCCACCCTGCTTTGATTCTATGGCTAACATCTTCATCAATATCCCCGTCTCTCTGTAGCATTGATCCTAAATATCGAAAGGTATCCTTCCTAGACACTACTTGACCTTCCAAACTAATATCTTCCTCCTCTCGAGTAGTAGTGCCGAAGTCACATCTCATATACTCAGTTTTAGTTCTACTGATTCTAAAACCTTTGACAAAAGGGTACCACAGAAGCTAAAAGGCAAGTTTTATAGGACGACGATTAGACCTGCTATGTTGTATGGTGCATAATATTGGCCTACGAAAAGACGACATGTTCAACAGATAAGTGTCGCGGAAATGTGTATGTTGAGTTGGATTTACGGTCATACAAGAAGGGATCGAGTTCGGAAGGATGATATACGTGATAGATTAGGGGTAGCACCAATTGAAGAAAAGTTTGTCCAACACCGGTTGAGATGGTTTGGACATGTCCAACGGAGACCTCCAGAGACACCGGTGCGTAGTGAAATCCTAAGCCAGGATAGTAACGTGAAGAGAGGCAGAAGAAGACCAAAGTTGACTTGGGTAGAGCCAATAAAAGGAGACTTGAAAGGATGAAATATACCCAAAGACTTAGCCTTAGATAGGAGTACTTGGAAAACAACTATTCACGTGCCTGAACCTTGATTGCTTCTGCTGGGTTTCAACTCTAGCCTACCCCAACTTGTTTGGGACTTAAAGGCTTTGTTGTTGTTGTTGTGTGTGTATATTATATATATATATATATTATATATATATAATACATGCTATTTTTTTCAATGAATGTATATATGTCACTGAAGGAAAATACAGAGTCAATGCACATATATACCTGTTCCTAGGCAGCTGACTAAAGAATCCTTCGTATCTTTCGTCTACATCCCTGCCATAAAAGCAGTTGATCTGAATTAGCACTTAAGCCAACCAAAAATAAATTGAATCTCACTGAGGTGCTCAAATTCATTACCGCCAAGTAATCTCTCTTTTCTAAATACAATAAAGCTTTCTGCCAGATCAGAGACTCCAGGTTATTTAGATCTGAAAAAAAAACAAAAGTATTCCTTTGGGTATGGACACTATATATCAAGACTATCAAAGAACTTTAGCATCGTACAATACTATTAGTTATGTCTTAGCATGTCGAGAAGTTACGTTACATAAACCTTTTTATATGCAAACTATATGAGAATAAAATCCACCTGTATTTCTGTCATGCCTGCTATATACCCAACTGACCAACTGATTAGTCATCAAACATAAGACAGAAAATAATTAGACGGACAAAAAAATATAAAGCAAAATTTAGAAGCAATATAGAGTAGATATCAGGTCCGCAAAAATATAATAATTGAATATTAGAATCAAACAATGCTAAAAATATAGACAACAAACGGTATATACTTGGGATAGCCTTACCTTGCCAGATCTTAGTTTCTTAGTAATTATTTGTTTGTAGGTTTGTTTTTTGGTCTCTTCATAGATTCGCACAACAAAATTCAGAAGATTCCCCTTTGCTCGTACAAGTTTGAGAAAATAAAAACTCACAGTAGTCACAAAGAAATATCAGAAATTCAATAAAAATCATGTACAAAAAGAATATGGGAGAAGTAAAAAAATATTGAATTTACATGACGACCTACCATACCATCGGCCCCATCTCTACAGAGTACCACTGTCGCAGGCAGTGCTTCTCTAATCTGCTGCTCAAGCAAAACGACACCAACTATGATTATATGAGGCTGCTGCAATAATTACTAGTTTACCACAACGCATATGAACCGGGCAAGGTTTGAAACAACGAATAGTGATTTGAGGAAGTACTCTGTGATGGGAAGATGATCGTACCGAGGGCAATATAATCAATCAGATCTTTCTGATCCAACCAGAAGGGGGCCCCACAATGGATCTAGCATATAGGGCACAAAGGTTTGAGGGGATCAGATCAGAACCTGTCTATTTGCAAATATGGTGGATGCGGAATGGATTGCTCTGCGGATGGCCTTGGCAAGTTGTCGCCGTCGCATCTCCCAATCACGGCCCGCAGTGCAGATTGGGTCCGCTGCTGCTCGTATGTCCGGTGAGGTTGTGATGCTGGCCGCACTTGCCGGCGGGTGGCGGTGGCTGTGCCCGGGCGGCTGCCATGGCTCCGCACGACTCGAACGGCGGCATCTGCAAGGGAGGGGTGAACAAAGCTGTGACCTAAATAAAGGATGGGAATAGGGAACTGGCGAACTGCCGTGGCTAGGAGCCGAGGACTACGGAAGACAGAATATAGTGATCGCTTAGGGGCTGTTTGGGACTGCTCCACAAACTCTGCTCCACAAACTCTACTGTAGAGCAGCTCCACAAAAAACTGGAGTTTGTGGAGTACCTCTTTAGGTGCTCTCACAACTCTACCATTTTTTCTCGAGCAGAGTGCGTGGAGCTGAAACTGTTTGGCTAAAAAACGTAGAGCGGAGCTGAAAAACGTGGAGCGGAGCAGTCCCAAACACCCCCTTAGTCGCAGGGCGGCGTGGGAAGTGGAGGAGGTTGGGAACACCTGCAACGCATTTTGGTACCGTTAGAAGACATATGTTGCAATACGGGGGTTTGTGTTGTAGTGTACATGGTCGATTAAATGGGATAAACAACCGACTAATTAATAAATGGGCACAACTAGTCATCGTGTAGTATATATTTCGATGACGTGTAAACAAACTATACAGTTGTTTACAACAACACTGCTTAAGAAGCACAACTATGTTATATGATTTGCAGAGACGGGCAATATTTTATTTAGTTCCTCCGAACTGAAAATGTTGCACATTTTAGGAGACACGCACACTTTTAAAATGTAAAATCGTTTTTCCGTAGTAGTGAGTTAGCGGTTCGTAGCTAATAGTTAGTTAGCCTATTAGCATCTCCTTTTGTATCCACTAGTATTAAGTTTAGTTGCTATAATAACTACTAGCACTAGCATATCAAGCATGCCTTATAGTCTGATTTAGTTATTTGCTTTCTAAAACGCCGTCATGTCAGCCCATAATAGAAGCAGGTTTTCCTCCCTTTTTTCAAAGGAAAATGATGGAAATTTGGATATGGGCCTCTTGGCTTAGGATTTCATGAGAAATTTCAAAGGTGTTGCAAAGGAAGTTATTTGGGCCCAAACTGGCCTTATGATACCGTGCCAAATGTGGATGGAATCAAATGTATGGGCTACAGCACATTAGCACCCATGGCCCAGCCCATGTTAATTCTGCTCCCCATGGCCCATAGCATCCGCCGCCGCCGCCTCCGTTTATTCCCCAACCATTCCTCTTCCTCGTCGGCTCGCCGCAAACCCCTAAACCTCCCCATAGCACCACCACCACAAATGGCGGCGCTTCCCCCCCTCCGCCGCCTCCTGGCCCTCCGAGGCCACCGCCGCCTCCTCTCCACCGCTCCTGCCGCCTCATCCAGCAACCCCCCTACCCCAGAGGCCGTTCTCTACGACATCCACAGCCTCTCCAAGGACCCCTCCCAAGCGCTCGCCGTCTTCCGCCGCTCCGCCGCCGCCGGCCAGCCCGTAAGCTCCGCGGCATACAACCTCATGCTCCGCACCCTCGCCTCCCACCCCTCCTCTGCCCAGCGCTATTTCTGGCCCTTCCTCCGGGAGATGCAGGAGGCTGGCCACTCCGTCGACCAGGGCACCTACCTCGCTGCTCTCGCATCCTTCAAGAAGGCCAGCCTCACCGCCGACTACGCCTCCCTCACCGCGCACTACGACAAGTTCCGGAAGGGGGGCAAGTCCGCCGCCGCCGCCGCCGCCGCGGAGGCCGTCCGGGACCACGACTCCGCGGGCCTCGATAGCAGGCTCGCTGACATCGGTCTCCTTCCGCTCACGGAAACCACCGTCATCACGGTGCTCCGGGAGCTGAGGGAGCATCCGATCAAGGCTCTCGCCTTCTTCAGATGGGCTGAGCGGCAGCAGGGGTACACGCACAGTTCCGTGGCCTACAATGCCATGGCAAGGGTGCTCGGCCGGGAGGAGTCGGTCCCAGAGTTTTGGGACTTGATCCGGGAAATGAAGGCTGCCGGGATGCACGTTGATATCGACACTTACCTCAAGCTGTCCAGGAACTTCCAGAAGCGGCACATGGTCCGGGAGGCTGTGGAGCTGTATGAGCTCATGATGGATGGCCCTTTCAAGCCAGCCCAGCAGGATGGACCCATCATCATCAGGCGCATCTCGCTGGGGCCGTCGCCGGACCTTGAGCTTGTCAATCGGGTTGTCAACAAGTTTGAAGCCGTCTGGGGCGTCAAGACCAAGGAGTTGCTTGACGGGGTCCATAGGGCACTTACCAGTAATGAGAAGTTTGACAAGGCTGCAGAGATTGTGCAAACAATGAGGGACCAAGGCCACCAGCCGGACAATGTTACATATAGCCAGTTGGTATATGGTCTTTGCAAGGCCGACAAGCTGGAGGATGCTCGCAAGGTGCTTGATGAAATGGAGGCCGAAGGGTGTGTCCCAGATTTGAAGACTTGGACCTTGTTGATCCAAGGGTACTGTTCAGCTGGGGATGTGGACAGAGCTGTGCAGTACTTCACTGAGATGATCGAGAAGGGCTTGGACGCGGATGCCGATTTGCTGGATGTGATATTGAAAGGTCTGTGTAGCCATGAAAAGGTTGAAGAGGCTTACTCTTTGTTTGTTGAGATGGTGGATAAGGCTGAGTTGAGGCCTTGGCAAGGCACTTACCGGCGTCTAATTGGTGACTTGCTGAGGGTAAACAAACTTGACGAGGCACTGGCCCTTCTGAAGACAATGAAAACCTGCAAGTTCCCACCTTTCGCAGACCCATTCCCTCCTTACATTGCCAAGCATGGGACGGTTGAAGATGCAAGGAACTTTTTCAAGGCCTTGACAGTGAATACTTCTCCAGCACCTGCTGCCTACCTGCATGTTCTCAAGTTGTTCTTTGCGGAGGGAAGATATTCTGAAGCTCAAGATTTACTGTACAAATGCCCTAACCACATCCGCAAGCACCCCCATGTCACCAAACTGTTTGAATCAATAAAAGTTGAGAGTGCCTCTGCCTCTTGATTGGGTTCAAGCAAGCAATGATTGGTGAGATTATGGTGAACCCTTAGCTTTGCATGCTAGCTAGCTTTTTGTTTTTAAGTTGCCTTGGTATTGGATACTTTTATCAAATACTCCATCTTCTAATGATGTATGGTTCAACTAAGTCGGATTTTAGTATATGCTACTCCCAGCCCATGACCTGCTGGCATATTCCCCTGTAACTTAGCTTAAGAGGAAGGTGCCCACTGGCACGTCCTTGAAACTGTTGTTTTTCGTACTGGTCATTGTTGCCACTTGCTAGTATCGTTGCAGCTATGCAGATGGATTTTCCTTCAAAATGACTAAAATGAATCAAAGCACTTGCTCAGAGTTTGAACACCATGTTTACTATACTGGCGATTATCAATTTCAGGAGCTCTGAAAAGCAAATGCTTTGACAAATAAGACTATATGATTGCAACCACCAGCAGTATTGCTTAATATTACTACATGCCACAATCATTTGATCTGGTGTAATGTCTGATGCATTTTAACATGACAATTTTACAAAATAAACGTCCTGTGAACTGTGGAGTTACAGCTCCGCATGTCCAGAACCTTGGGAGATGCTGTATGCTTCAATGATATCTTGATTTATTGGGGTACTCATATGAGCATGTCAAGACCCTTCAACTTGTAGCTACTACAACCAATGTTTTCAGGTCGTCTAGTCGAACCTAGTCGCTATAGGACCGACCAGGCGACTAATCGTGATTAGTCGTCGACCAGGCCGATTAGTCGAGCCTAGTCGACCCTGGTCGTCCATATAATCGTCCTATGCATCAGGACATATACATACTATATATATACCTATATGTACTATATAGTGTACACAATATAGCAAGCATCAAGACTACATTAGTGTTTAGCAAGTGACTTACTTGTGGGAGTTGTTTTCTTGCCTTTTCTTCCTTTGTAGAGATGAGAGGCGGAGAGAGGCGGGGGATGAGGGAAGGACTGAGAGCGGCGGGGAGGCTGCGGCAGGGAATAGATCGCGAGAGGGCTTGCCACACCTTTGGAAGAGGGCGGCGGGAGGAGATGGCAGCGGCGGGAGCAGACACTGAGCAGAGAGGGCGAGCGACTGAGCACCTGCGAGGCAGAGGGAGGGCTTGAGCATGAATGCAGAGTCACCAGATGGGCCACCAAGGAGCAGAGGGCTTGAATGGTGGCCGATGGCGGGATCTGGGAGCAGGATGCAGAGGGTCAAGCCTGGCAGCCACCATGGGAGCAGAGAGGGGCGGGACCGCGGAAAGGAGGGCCGCCCGGCGAGCAGTGCAGGGCGCCGCCACCCCGTGAGCAGAGGCGGGCGCGACTCATGAGTCACGACCGGTCAGGCGCGGGCGGTGTTAATTCCGTGAAATTTTGTCGCTACTGACCAAAACCCTTATCCTCGCGCGACCATGACGCCGCGTGACCTGCAGCAGCAGCAGCACGTAAGCTGCGTTTTCGCGCTCTGGCGCGCTTCGCCCACAAGCGCTTATGCAAAAAAAAAAACAGCCAAAACTAGTCGTCCCACACCTAATCGGACGACTAATCGCGATTAGGCGGCGATTAGTCTGGACGACCGAGCCCCTAATCGAGCTAATCGGGTCGAGGTACCTAATCGAGCACCGGGACCGATTAGGACGATTAATCGTGATTAATCGCGATTAATCGGACGACTTGAAATCATTGACTACAACTTTCTTGTCAAATCTGTTTGATGAGTGCAGTTTTTTTCTTATCTGATCGTGGAGTTGGCTAATAATTAGAAGAATATGTATGCTCGATGCTTTACAATTCCAATTTCCAAATAGAAGCAAATCAACTAGCAATATCACAAAAGCCTCAGGGTCCATTTTTGGCCCGCCAACTATGGTCGCTTGATTTGTTTTAGCCCTCCAACTCCAAAACCAGACAACCGCGGTCCCTTAACTCTCAAAACCGTTTAAAATTGGCCTGGCGTCCATTCCACCGTGGTTTTCGCCCGATCAACCCCGCCATGACCAGCAGTTTCGGCCTGATCCTCGTCCCTCAGCAGGATCGCCACATGTCAACGAGCGAGAGCGAGAGGAAGAGAGAGAGAGAGAAGCAGCGTCTTGAGTTGGAGCGGAGGGAGCAGAGAGAGAGAGAGAGAGCCCCACGCCTCCCTCGCTCTTCTTCCTCTCTCTCCCTCCGGCGTAGGGCGGCGGCGGGCTGGCGGCGGCTGGCGAAGGGCGCTGCTGCTTGGCGGAGGCAAAACAGCGGCGGCGGGGCTTGGCGAGGCACACTCTCTCCTCCGCCGCTGCCAAATCTCCGTGCAAGGGTGGTGCGGATCTGGCGCGAGGCTGCCAGGCGTTGTCCCGCTTCGGCGGCGTCGCCGCCGCCTCATCCATGCATGGGCTCGGAAACCCCGAGATGGCGCGCTTCAAGTTCCGCAAGGCACATCCCGTGCGCTCACCTCTCTGGCTACCGACGAGCGCAGCTCCCGTGCGGCGGCTCCCTCTCGCCGGCGATGCCGACGCCAGACGCGATCTTGAGTTCGAGTTGTCATTTGGAGGTCCGGTCGCGACCTCGACGCTTCCCTCCCCACACGGGCTTTCGGCGCCATGGAGCTCGGTGTGGTCTGCTTTGGGCGACGCCGTGGAGGTCCGGTCGCGGCCTCGGACGCCGCCCTTCCAGCAGGTGTTGCCGACGCCATGGAGCTCCGGCTGTCGCTCGACGCGCCTACCTCCCGTGCGCGATCGCTCGGCGCCGTGGAGAGTGCGGCATGCCGCTCCACGCCCGGCTCACGCGTCTCCCAGCGCCGACCCTTCTCGGCGCCATGGAGGTCCGGCCGCCTCTCTTGGCCTCCACCTCGGGCGCCGCCCGCCGCCGCCGCCGATCTCTGCTGCTGTGGCCCCCGCAGCAGAAGCTCTGCCTCGTCTCGTCGGGAGGCCGCCACCGACCTCGCTCTGCTGCGAAAGCCGCATGGGCGGCCCGCGTGAGCTTCTGCCTCGGCTCGTCGGAGGCCAGCTCGCCGCTTCGCGCTCGCCTTGCCCGTGCTTTCGCCGGCCAGTGCGCCGTAACACCAGCGCTTATCTTTGGCAGCGTCTTTGGCTAGATCTGGCAGCAGAGCTCGGGCACCTCGCGGGCCAGGGAGGAAGCCGTCATCCATCACAAATCCAGCGCACCGGCGAACCGGTGAAGCGAGAGGAGGCTGGGGTCCATGGCGTTGTGCATGCGTCCGCGCGCATGCCAGTGATGGCAGAGGGGCTTGGGGCTCTACGTGGCCGCCCAACTGCTCGGCTCCGCGCTCGTCCTTCCCTCTCTGCTCTCGCTCGCGGCAGCGTGCGAGGAAGGAGGCCGGGGCGCGCTCACGGTGGCGGCCAACGCAGCGACGGCGTCTCGTCGGAGCTCGGGGCCGCTGACCATCTGTCAGCGCTACTGGCGTGTGGGGCTCGACGTGGGGGCACGACAGGCCATGGCTGCCTCTCCGGGTTGCGCCTCGGCCAGCCATGGCGGCCTCTCCGGGCGCGGCCTCTTCTGCTCGTCCAACCCCAACACGCAACGAGGCGGCGCAAGATGCGAGCGTGGCTAGCCCGGCGCGGCACCAGGCGGTCCCTCCATGGGCGGCACCTCCGGCTGACGGCGAAGCGCAGCCGGCGCCATCCAGATCGGATCTCTGCGCAGCAGAGAGCAGCGCGAAAGTGCGGGGTGGGCGAAGTTCGTCCGGAGATGAGGCCGTGTCGGGGCCTCGCCGGGAAGGTGTGGACAGCAAGCTGCGGCATGGCGTCCAAATCGGACCCCCTGCTAGCGCTCTCTCTCTCTGCTCTCGCTCGTTGACCACACGGCAGTCGTGAAGGGACGAGGACTGGGCCGAAACCGCGGTCGCGGCGGGTTGACTGGGCCGAAACCATGTTGGAATGGACGCGAGGGCCAATTTTAAACTGTTTGAGAGTTAAGGGACTGTGGTTGTCTGGTTCTGGAGTTGGAGGGCTAGAAACAAACTGTAGCCATAGTTGGAGGGCCAAAAATGGACTTTTTCCTATATAAAAGTAGTCCATACATCGTTGTTGCAAACAATATTGCCACATAATTACACATCTCCACATAATTACATTACTTTCATATTTGTATTCTATCAACAATGCCATGGTAACTTCGCTCCGCAAATATCCAAGGCTGCAAGCAGCATCTATTATTTGATCTAGGACCTATAGACTATATAGATACAAGCATAAGTATATAGTATCGACTTCTTGAACTAGCGACACCTTTAAGTAGAAGGTTGGTACATGGTTGTGCTCTTCTGGAGTGCCCAAGCCCTGTGCTTAAGCTTGATGAAGTCCGAAGCTGTTGTATCCACATCCTTATTCTTGTCATCTTTCATCCCATAGCCATACCCACTGGTTCCTGGTTCCTTCATAGCATTGGCTTGGCTATCCTGAAATTTGACGTGTTTCCTCTGGGCCTGGAAACGAAGGGGCTGGGCTTGAGACATTGTTACTTGCTTAAGGTATTGAGAAAATGTAAGAAAGTGGGAATTGCTAGGTTGGTAGTTTGCAGCTGTGATGTTTTCGTGCCTTCTTTTATAGGCCCAATGGATATATACTCCCAAAAAGATTTTTTAGATAATCAAGCATCCGATTCTCCTCTTTTGAAGAATTGCCTTGTTCTCTTTCTTCATTCAAATTTGTTAGGCGTCACATGACTTAACCGTCATCTCTTTACTACTAGTAGTAGTTCAGCTGATTTTGATGGCTAGGATTTTACTTTGTTTGATTGTAAGGTTAGTTCCCAATAAGGTTTCTTCTCTTCTCTTTTAAGAGAAGCGCAAGTTATGCTATTGGTCAAAGATTATAACTTTTTTTGTGGTCAAATGTGAATAATAAGGAAAACATGGTGTAGGGTTTTTATTTGTTTTCTAGTGTCAAATATTTGATCCTTATAACGCTGTGGGACTTGGATTTGTGTTACTAGGGAAAGCATTTGAGGACCACAACACATCTTTCCCTGTAAATCAGCTTACAAGCCTTTGTGTT